GACCATGTCAGCGGATTTTATTCTCGTGACAGTCTCTTATTCTTCCAAGAGGTTAACTGAGATCTATATCCAGGAGATTGTTCGCCTTCATGGTGTGCCCGAGTCTATCATTTTGGACTGTGGTACGCAGTTTACCTCACGGTTTTGGAGGGCCGTTCAGCGAGAGTTGGGCACACAAATTGAGTTGAGCACAATGTTTCATCCTCAGACGGACGGGCAGTCCGAGCTGACTATTCAGATTTTAGAGGATATGCTCTGAGCTTGTGTCATTGACTTTGGAGGCTCGTGAGATCAGTTTTTGCCTTTAGCAGAGTTTGCCTACAACAACATCTACCAGTCGAGTATTCAGATGGCTCCTTATAAGACTTTATATCGTAGGTAGTGTCGGTCTCCGGTTGGATGGTTTGAGCCGGGAGAGGCTCAGTTGTTGGGTATGGATCTGGTTCAGGATGCCTTGGACAAGGTCAGGATTATTCCGGATAGGCTTCGTACAGCTCAGTCCAGGCAAAAGAGCTATGCCGACCGCAAGGTTTGAAATTTGACTTTCATGGACGGTGAGCATGTATTGCTTCGAGTGTCGCCTATGGAGGGCGTGATGAGATTTGGGAAGAAGGGCAAGCTTAGCCCTAGGTTCATTGGCCCTTTTGAGATTCTTGATCGAGTGGGATAGGTGGCTTACAGACTTGCATTGCCGCCGAGCTTATCAGCCGTGCATCCAGTGTTTCATGTGTCCATGCTTTGGAAATATCACAGCGATCTATCCCACGTGTTAGATTTCAGCACTGTCCAGTTGGACAAGGACTTGTCTTATGAGAAAGAGCCAATAGCTATTCTAGATCGGCAGGTTCGTCAGTTGAGATCGAAGAGTTTTTCTTCTACTCATGTTTAGTGGAGAGACCAGCCTGCTGAGGCATCGACCTGGGAGTCCGAGTCCGATATGCGGAGCCGTTATCCCCATCTTTTCCCCGACTTAGGTACTTCCTTCTTATGTCTGTTCGAGGACGAACGGTTGTTTTAGAGGTGGAGAATGTGTCGACCCAAAAGGTCATCACTTATTTTTAAAATGAATTCTTCATTCTAAGGCCTTAAAAACCTCTTTCAGCATCACCTCAATTTGCGTGTGCAGTCCGTACGCGCGTAGTCGGAAAGCTAATATGTGAAAATTTGTGAAAAATATTGAGATTTTGACTTAAAATGCATTTAAGTTGACTTCGGTCAACATTTTGGGTAAACGGACCCGGAGCCATGATTTGACGGTCCCGAAGGGTCCGTAAAAAAATATGGCACTTTGGCGTATTTCCGGAATCGAATTCCGAGGTCCCAAGCCCGAGAAATAATTTTTTTAAAAAATTATTTTCTGGAAAATTCTATGAGTTTTGGAAATGAAATGCATTTAGAATTTGTTGGTATTGGGCCCGTATTCTAGTTCCGGAGCCCGGTATAGGTCTTATATGTGAAATAAGATAAGTCTGTGAAATTTGGTAAGAAACGGAAGTCGTTTGAGGTGATTCGAACCCGTAGTTGTGAAAATTTATGTTTTGAAAGTTTTGAGATTTTTTTAGATTTTCATACTAAATTCGTTGTTTAAGAGGTTATTTTGGCGATTTGATCGCACGGATAAGTTCATATGATGTTTTTGAGTTAGTATGCATTATTGGTTTGGAGCCCTGAGGGCTCGAGTGAGTTTCAGATAGGTTTCGAGAAGTTTTTGAACTCATAAAAGTTGCAGGTTTTTCAGTTTCTAGTGTCTGGTGTTGACTATTATGCGATCGCATAGGGCCTTTCGCGATCGCATAGCTCAGTGTTAAGGGAGGAAATCTGTAACACTATGTGATCACTTAGCATGTTTCGCGATCGCATAGAGTGGTAGGTAGGCTGGGGGACTGGGGTAGCTTGTTCTGTGCGATCACATTTCCTCATTCGCGATCGCGTAGCATAGGAAGCAGTCCACTATGTGATCACATTCCTTTCTTCGCGATCGCATAGACCAAAATCCGCACAGTTATTTTTAAGTTCAAAAACAGAATGTATTAAGGGAATTTCACCATTTTTCACAAACTTCTTCTTCTCCACACCTTTTGGGCGATTTTTGAAGAGAAACTTCACCATAGCTTCATAGGTATGTAATCCTAAGCTCGTTTTCTTCCATTTTTATCAACACCCATTAGATTTCTAGGCCTAAAACATGAGATTAAGGGTAGAAAGTTAGGGATTTGTGTAGAGTTAGGGCTTTATGATTATTTGGGAACTTGACCTCGTTTTGGGGTCAGATTTCAAAACAAATTATATATTCGGGCTCGTGGGTGAATGGGTGATCAGGTTTTGGTCCGAACCTCGTATTTTGACCAAGCGAGCCCGTGGTCGATTTTTGGATTTTTGGGAAGAATGTTGGGAAATCTATAATTAAGCATTGGAATTGAATTGTTTAGCATTTATTGATGTTATTGAGTCAAATATGTCTAGATACGATTGATTTGGAGTCGGGTTCGAAAGGAAAAGTGGTGCTTGAGGCCTGATTTGGATCATTGTAGTCGAGGTAAGTGTTTGGTCTAACCTTAGCTTGAGGGATTAGGAGTTGTGTCCTATTTGCTACTTGTTTCTTGTTGAGTACGACGTATAGGCATGGTGACGAGTATCTATATGTTAGTGTCGAGCATGACCATGGGCCTTAAATTGAATTATGTTGTGTTATTAAATAATACTACGGATGCTTAAGTTGATGATTCTCTGTACTGAGCAAGGATTATGATTATTCTCGTGGAAATTAGTTATGACTGAGTATTGGTGTTAGCTGAGATAGTTAGATGTTGGAACAAGTTTGGTTATAGCTGTTTCTCCCTTGCCGGGATGTAGTTTACTTATACTGTCGATTCCCTTGCCGGGATAGTGTAGTTCTTGATTGCTCCCTTGTCGGGACCCTTGTTATGATTGTTGTTGATATTATATGTGGATCGGGTTGCATGCCACAACAATAATATAATTGGATCGGGTTGCACGCCGCAACAATGATATAATTGGATCGAGTTGCACACCGCAATAGTGATAAATGATATGGATCGGGTTGCACACCGCAACAGTGTTGTTATGTGATAGGATCGGGTTGCGCGCCGCAACAATTGATGAAATAAAGTGTTTATAAATTGGTTACAAGTTCCTTATTGCTTTGTTGTAGATTCTAAGTTATCCTTATGCCTTTTCTTGATTTACTGTTGATATTGACATACCCCCGCAGCATGTACCCCCTCTCATCTTTACTTGCTGTTCCTGTTTTATTTTCCGTTACATATTATATAACTGCATAGGTTTATTTGGTAGTATGGTCCTAGCCTCGTCACTACTTCGCCGAGGTTAGGCTAGACACTTACCAGCACATGAGATTGGTTGTGCTGATGCTACATTCTGCACTATGTGTAGATCCCAGAGTAGCATTTGGGCGGCTGTCTTCAGTCCAGCTAGAGATCCCGAGGTAGTCCTGCAGGCGTTCGCAGGCCCGGCGTTCTCTTCTATCTTATTATGTATTTTGTTTTCAGTTGTTTCCGAGACAGATTGTACTTTCCTTTCAGACATTTGTTGTAGTATTCATAGACAATCTGTGATATTGTGACGCCGGATTCTGGGTAGAGACGTATGTTGGCATTGTCGTACTGGCTTTAGTTATTTTATTAGATTAAGTCTTCCGCTTGATTTTATTCATCGTTAATATTTCAATGTTGATTAAATGCTAATTCAAATTGTTAAAAAGGGTTAAAATGAAAGAGTTAGTGATTCTTTATTTCGCGGCTTGCCTAGCTTCTACGAGTAGGCGCCATCGCGACTCCCGAGGGTGGGAAATCCAGGTCGTGACAAAATCTCGAAGAGCTTCCAAAAGCAAAAATGCTCTTTTTTTTTATTTCTCACTTGGTGTTCGGTATCCACATTGGGGCCCGACTAAATCCGAATTCGCATCGAAAAGTCAAACATTGGGGGGGGGGCGCAAAAGCAGTTGAAAAGATGTGAAATGCTCAAGACATGACT